CTGGTCTTCCGGCTCAGCGAGCTCCACAGCGCGCCTGGGGCCAGCTTCAGCGCCACAAGCATCCGACCGCTTTGCCCCCAGCCCACATCCTGCGCACCCCCGACTCGAGTCCCGCCCGAAGGCCTCGTTTTACAATCTGTACAATTGATAGGAAATCTGATGTGACGGAATACATGGACACGTGTTAATCGAATGTAACTCTCGTCGGGCGCGCCAGGCTCACAATGGGTCCTCAACGGTGTCGGGTAATGCAACACCTATCGTGGGGAATATGCTGGCGATATTGTTGCCCCGCGCAATTACATCAAACCCGTCTCCGCCCCCGATCGTCAAGCACTCAATCTGAATACTACTCTCCCTTATACCCTGAATGTGTCCGGAAAGTGTCCCGCTCTCTCCGCCGACTGCTGGTTTTGCACGCAAGATTACGTTATGTGGTATGTCCGTTTGTTGGTCGGAGAGTTTTCGGTATCTCGAAATGCTCCCACTGCAGCGTGGGCCTCGTTTTCGGATCGGCGCTTTGCTCTCGTCGTTCAGAATGGCGCTCCCGCCCCAAGCCCGGCCAAATTTCTGGATCCGAGCGCTTTCTCATCGCTGTCGCTCCGCTCCTTTCCCCTCCCCGGCCTTCCCCTGGTCATCCTGCTCCTCCCGCTTCTCCCACTCCTGCTCCTGTTCCTCCTCGTTCTCCTCCTTCCTCATCCTTCCGCCGAGAAGGCGAGGCCCTTCCCAAGGCGCGCCACGCGGACCCGCCCCCCCCCGCGCTCACCCCCAAGACACTCGGGGGCGTCCAATGGGGAGGGGAGGAGGAGGAGGAGGAGGAGGAGGAGGAGGAGGAGGAGGAGGAGGAGGAGGAGGAGGAGGAGGAGGAGAAAGAGGGGGAGGAGGAGAAGGGAGGCGCCCTGCCGCAGCAGATTGCAATAATTATGCGCGGTCTGCCGTGGGGTAGATCATTATGTGCATCTGGTGTCGGAGATGTCTTGGGTTCTTCCGAGGCGTTCCGAGACGGCGCCGGCACGACACGTGGCGCCAATCATGTCCCGAGGCACGTGCGCGGCCCAGGGGGGGGGCCAGGGGACGCATGTCATGAGGCAGAGGCACAGTGAGACCCGTGGAGGTATCCATGGCCCGCGCCATGAGATCCCCCCCCCGACCTCGTGATTTTGCACAGCGTCCACCCCAGGGGTCTGGGCCCCTTCCCTGAGGCCAGCTCTTCCTCCCGAGTCGTTTTCTGACGGCCCGAGGCCCGGCAAGACCCCCCGGAGGGTGAAAATCCTGAGACACCTTCAGTCTTGATTTTTGTCATGGATCGAGGGGGTCTGTGACAGCCCACGCATCTATGGCGCGCTGCGATCCTCTGACCCGAGCTTTACGCCCTCCCGACGACGACGGGGAGAAGGAGGAGGAGGAGGAGGAGGAGGAGGAGGACGAGGAGGAGGAGGAGGAGGAGGAGGAGTAGGAGGAGGAGGAGGAGGAGGAAGGAGGAGGAGGAGGGGGAGGAGGAAGAGGAGGGAAGAGGGAGGCGGAGGGGGAGCGAAAAGCCTCCCGTCGTGATAATTGTCGCGACGCCGGGGGCCTCGGGACGCCACCGAGACGCCCCGCGCGCCGACCGTCCGGGCGCGGCCGCGGGCCGCCGCTCTGCCCCGCCGCGGCTCCCGCCGCCGCGCACGGCGGGCGGGCGCCCACCGCGGGCCGCCGGCGGGCCCGCGCGACGGCGGCGCGCCCGGGCGCAGCCGTGCCGCACGGCCGCGGCGCGCCGTACGGCCGCAGGGCGCCGCCGCGGCACCCGCCGCGGCGCCCGCCGCGGGCGGGCGGGCGGGCTGCCGCGGGGCCGCGCGGAGGGGGCCATGGGCCGGAGGGGCTCGAGGTCGTTGTCGTCGGCGTCGTCGGCGTCGTCGTCGACGCGTCGCCGTCGCGTCGTCGTCGTCGTCGTCGTCGTCGTCGTCGTCGTCGTCGTCGCCGCCGCCGCCACCGTCGTCGTCGTCGTCGTCGTCGTCGTCGCCGTCGCGTCGTCGTCGTCGTGGTCGTCGTCGTCGTCGTCGTCGTCGTCGTCGTCGTCGTCGTGGTCGTCGTCGCCGTCGCGTCGTCGTCGTCGTCGTCGTCGTCGTCGTCGTCGTCGTCGTGGTCTCGCGTCCCGACAGAAATCACGACGGAAACTCTCTTGGCTATTGGCAACTGTGGGTCTCCAGACGCCCTTGCCAGCAGTAGGGACTGTAAAAAAAGCTGCCCGTAAGAAAAATTTGCTTCTCGGCAAAGGGTCAGGACTCCCCAGGACTCCGTGTGAACAAAACTCAAGACATCGTATGTCTGGGTAGTTATACGACGTCGTTGGGTCGGCCAAGGAGCCAAGATGTTCGGCGAAGGAACTCGATGTACAGTAGGGACCCGACCACAAGAAACCTTCCAGAAGAAACCCAGACCCTGAGACCCCAGGGCGTCCTCTGATTTGGGGCGTGGGCACGTTAAGCTCTCCATAGCAGAACAATCGAAACCCAAGAAATCCAGATCACCCTGGAGGCAAGCAGGGTGCTTCTTGGCATGGGTCTCCACTGTACAGGCGCTGCCGCGTCCCGCAGTTTGGGGAGCTGGGTATCATCGGCCGACTGGATGACGTGGTGTATGCTGTGTACGTCGAGCCCCTCCCAATGGGCTCAGCCCCGCTTGATGTCGATGAGGATCTGGGCGCAGCCGCGCCCGCTGCCCTCCATCTCCGGATAGGCGGTCTGCACCCTGACGATGTGGCCGAGGCCGTCTGCTACGACCTGCGCCGCCGCCGCGCTCGCGGCGCCGATGGCCTCCCCGACACCGGAGATGCGGAGGTTGTCGACGGGCGGCTTCGCCTCCTCGCGCAGCGGAGCGCGGGACAGCGACGACGCTTCGGAGGTTCCCGGGCGGAGATGCATGGATTGTGGCGCCGACCCGCCGGCGGGGCCCCGCCGGAGGGCGAGCTCTGCCAGCGCAGAGGAGGCAGCCGCGTGCCGAGTCGGATGTCCAAGAGGCCTCCAAGAGAGCCCGAGGGCAGCCCCAGAGAAGCCCTCGAGATGACCCACGAGAACCCCCAGACGGCCCAAGGAGGCCCCAAAGCGGCCCAAGCGGCCCAAGCGGATTTCGTGGAGGCTGCTGGAGGATCTCGTGGCCGCGGCTGGGCGGGGCTCGAAAACTGGCCAGGAGGGACCCTGGAAGGGGTCCAGGGATCAGGTTTTGGGCGGAGTTCGACCAGGGTTGGGGCGAGGATCGAGGACGGAGGTCTTGCTTCTTGCTTGGGGGGGGCCTCTTGCGTGGCGCCCTGGCTGCCACGGCTGCGCGCGACTCCGAACAATGGACGGGATTGGACCTGGGAAGGGGTCGGGGGCGGGGCGTGGAAGGCAGCGCTTCGCTTTGAAGAAGGCCCCCCCCCGCCTCGTCTAGAGACCTCCTACATGGGGTCGAAGGATGCCCCGCATCGCCGATGCATCGCCGATCATCGGCGAGGGGAAACACGGGCTCTACATCGAGCCGCATCGTCGATGCATCGGCGATGCGGCGCGATCCTCCCACCCCATGTACTCCGACCCCATCTATAGGAGGCCTAGATCATCGAGGCCATCCCGCTCTCCGAAAACCACGAGGCCCCCGAGGAGGGGGCTCGGCCCCGGCTTCTAGGGAAGCGGCCGCCGCCCTTCGAGAGGTGCCCCCCGCTTGTGGTGCGCCGCCGCCGGCCTTGGCCTCCTTGTCTCCCTCCGCGGGCTTCTCCTCCACGCCCTTGAGGAAGCTGGCGGCCGAGCGGACGTAGAAGCTCTGGGGCTTTTTCATCGTGACCTTCTTGGGGGCCCGAAGCCGTGTGGTGACAGACCGTGCGGTGACTTCGGAACCCCAAGAGACCTCGCCGCACGGTCCGTCACCGCACGGTCTTGGGACCCTGGAGGCCCCTGTCGCCAAAGACTCGGAGAGGGACTCGAGTCCCCACCGACTCACCACATGGTGGGGTCACCACCCCGCTTGGGGGCCTAAAAACCTTCATCTCCACCGCTCCCTCGGGTGCCGGCACCAGGGGCGGAGCCGGGGGCGCCTTGGCCTCGGAGATGGCCTTAACGATGTCGGCGAACTCCGGCTTCAGAGACGCGCCGCCGACGAGGAAGCCGTCGATGTCTGGCTGCGCCGAGAGCTCCGGGGCGTTCTTCGCGTTCGCGGAGCCGCCATACTGGATGCGGATGGCCGCTGCGACGGCGGGGGAGGCGTTCTTCTCGATGAGGTCACGGATGCCTTTGTGCGTTGCCTGGGCGTCCTCTGGCGTCGCAGTGAGCCCCGTGCCGATGGCCCAGACGGGCTCGTAGGCGAGCACCACCTTGGCGGGGTCCAGCATGGAGTAGACCTGCTTCAGCTGGACATCCATCAGCTCCATGACCGCCGCGAGCCCCTTCTCACGGACCTCCTTGGGCTCACCGACGCAGTAGACGCAGGACATGCCTGCATCCAAGACGCACTTGAGCTTGGCGGCCAGCGAGGCGTCGTCGTCCATCTTGAAGATTCCGAACTCGCCCCGGCGCTCGGAGTGGCCGATCATCACCTGCTTCATGCCCAGGTCCTGTATTTGTGCGACGGCCATGGAGCCGGTGAACGCGCCGCACCCTTTCGGGTTGCAGTCTTGCGGCGTCACCAGGGCCCTGTTCTTAATCTTGGGCACGACGTACGGCACGTGCAGGGTCGACGGGCAGACGTACACGTCGCACTTGCTCGTGTCGCAAGCGTTGATGTTCTTGATGAGATCGTCGAGCTTCGATACGCTGTCGGGGTTGCACTTCCAGTTGCCGCCCACGACGGGCCTGCGCCCCATGGCTGCTGGCCTCAGAGGGGTGGCGGAGCGCGGGGAAGGCTCCTCCCGCAGACCAGCTCGGCGGCGAGCCCAGGGGGGGGGGAAGGGCGAAGGGGCGGGCCTTCTCAGGAGGCTCGGAAGCCCCGCGGCCTCCCGAGAAGTTCTCTGAGCCTCCCCCGAAGACGCAGAGCGCTTCTCGGAAGGCGCGGAGGGGCCCTCCGAGCACAGGACGCCTCTCAGCAGGCAGGCGCGAGGGCTTCCGAGAAGCGCCGCCGCCTCGTGAGGAGGCCGTCCCTCGCTCGCCCCCCCCCCCGCCCAACCCGCCGCGGGCCGGAGAGGGCGGGCGGTGCCCGCGCGCGTCGAGCGCCCTGGCCCGGGCTGGGCCGAGAGGGAGGCTGCGGCGGAGGAGGGGCTGGAGGGGGGGAGGCGGAGAGGGGGGAGTGCCGCCCCTCGCTCCCGTCCCCTGGGGCTGGGCGTCTCGCCACAGTCGGGGCGTTGACCTAAGGAGCGATGAACCAGGAACGAAACGCCCTTTTCTTCCCTGAGATTAATTTCGATGTCCGCTCGAACACCGAAGGTCCAGCTGAGGCAAACAGCCGAACAGCCAAGGAACACGGAGCCTCCTCCCAAACGAACAAGGTTCCTCCTTCAGCGCCCCGATTGTACCGCTACGGAGGGGGGGTGCGCTGGAGGGGTGTGATGGGGGGGAGAGAGAGAGAGAGAGAGAGAGAGAGAGAGAGAGAGGATCGAAACGGCTGCAGTAGTGGGGCCCGAAAGGGGGCCCCCTGGGCACCGAAGGTGCACAGGAGGTGAATCTCCCCCCCCCCCCGCGCCCTCCCACCCACGCGTTCGCTGCCACCCGGGGCAGTCAGGCCTTGCAGGATCCTGCAGGATCCTGCGGGGTCCTGCGCCCTGGCCCGGGTCAATGCGGCCCTGGCTCCGCAGGGTCCTGCAAGTTCCGCTCTGGCCGACCCCCGTTTGCATTGACCCTCGTCCCTTGAGCCCCGACTCGGGCAACACCGCGGAAGGCCGGGGGGCCCCCAAGCCTTCCGAAAAGACACGCCCCTTCTCCTCTCCTCCTGGGCTCGCCGCCGAGAGAACGAGAGGATGGCGACCACGACGACGAACATGGCGACGACGACCACGACGACGACGACGACGACGACGACGAGTCCGAAAACGACACCGACGACGACGACAACGACGACGCCGGCGACGACGACGAGTCCGCCGACGCCGACGATGACGACGACGACGACGAAGACGAGGGCGACAAGGACGACGAGGACGACGACAAGGGCCGACGGCGAGGACGACGAAGAGAACCAGAACGACGACGAGTACCCTCGGACCCGTGCAGGGGAGCGCTGTCACGGCAGATTCCAGCCGTGGCCACGGGGACGCCCAATGCATGCAAAGACATGTCCGAGCACGTCAGAGAAACTCTACCGTCGAACCTCGATGAGGAGAGGAGGAGAAGGAGGAGGAGGAGGAAACACAAAATGACGACGACGACAGTCCTCGACAGGAGCGATCCTCGACGACGACGACGACGATCACCACGACGACGAAGGCGCTGGCCGGGCTCCCGCCTCTTCCCCATCAGCGCGCGGAGGCCGATGAACTTAAAGAGTACCATGTACCTCCGTCCCGCCCGTGGGGGGGTCAAATCCGGTAGTTTCGTCAGGGGTTCAACGGCTGTTGCTGTCGCTCGGTGCGCGCTAGAGTCTTCGCGACTTCCGCATCCGTATCGCGGCATCTCTGGGGTGACCTCGACGTATCTGGACTCGAATCGACTTGCACATGTGCCTCGATTCGTCGAGCTTGATCCAAGCACGGCGATTGGAGAAGAGCCGTCAATCCCTGCGGGAACGTCGTGGATCGAGGACCGATGTGTTTGGGCGAGGATCGTCTGTCAATGGTCGATGTCTGGGAAATATTTGACACTCGTTTGGGCTTCAAGAAACATCCCGAAACCTCCAGAAGGAACTTTGCGGACCTCCGGAGACATTCGGTAACTTTCGGCGGCTTTCGGTGACCCTCGACAGACTGTAGAGGCCTTCGCAACGGCGCGGGGTCATCGTCATCGTAGTCTTGATCGTCGTTGCCCTTCTCCTCCCGGGTGATGCCAAAAGTATCCCTGGCCCAAGGTGCCAACTGCAAGGGGTCCAACGCAACCCTGCAGAGGCCCAAAAAGGCCCCGGGGCCTCCGAGATGTGCAAAAGCGGAGGACACCTTGGGCCACGCACACTTGGCGCGACGTGCGCCCGGGAGGTGTGGAGGAAGGGAGGGAAGAAAGGATGACAAGGAGAGGACGACCAGGCTCTGCGGAGACGCCGCGCAGGGCGCAGGCGCCCACATCAGACCCGAGGCGGCCCATTCGGCCACCTCCCTCGCCACCAAAGTAACCACCCAACCACCAGGGCAGGAGGGAGCGGCGGCGAAAAGATCAAAGCAAGGCAGCAGGGGGCAGCGGGAGTCCCGAAACTGGTCGAACCCCAGGGGGGCACGCGCACGCGCGTTGGCACGCGCGCCTCTCTCTCTCTCTCTCACCCCGCCCCCGCCAAGGAGAACAACACACACAGACGGGTTGAGCCGTCACTGCCGCCAGAGTTCGTATGGATCCGCTTGGCCCCGCACCCCCAACCGCAAGCAACCGACCCCGGGATCGGTGGCCATAAAGGGTCTCGGGGCTGGGGCACCACGACCGTCAGTTCTACCCTCGTCAGCGGGGTGACGGCCCGAAAGGATCAGCCCACCTCTCCTCTGAGCACGCTGGCCCATCTGGACGGGCTCAGGGAGAGGGCAGTCGAGCAGGAGCTGGCCCGCACCCCCCCCTCGTGCTGAACACACACAACCTCAAGCATCGAATTGCACCGCCTGCAGTGACTCCAATAAAAATGTCCGCGCGCCGACTCGGGAAGTGCGGTCCCTCGGCGACAGCGGACCGGCAGGTACTGTAGCATGCGCGAGGGAGGGCTGCCCTCGCAGCTGCTCGACCTTTGGACACGTAGCACTGCCTGGCACAAAGCCTGGGCCTTCTCTGGCTCAGAGATGCCCTGCGACACGCAGGCACCGTCAGAGGTCCGCACCTCCGGGGCCGAATCGAGTGATCGAGGGCCCCCGAGGACGCGGCAAGATCGAGGTCGCGGTCCCCGGGTCGCGTGGGCCGGGAACCTCCCCGCCCCACATCCCCCGAGGGACAGACGGTCCCAGCCCGCACGTGCTCCTGCCCATGGGGGGTGGGGCAGTGGGCAACGGGTTGCGACCTCCCCCCGCCCCGGGAGTCAGCCTGGGCGCGACTGCCCCTGCACAGAGGAGGGGAAGTCGCGCCCCTATAGGGAAGTCATCAGCGGAAGGCGCTCCCCTGGTGGCACTCGCGACGAGACCTCGGGCCAGACATTCCTGGGTTCCGAGAGCATGCTTGGGCCCAGCAGCGAGCGCGCCGCGCGTTAGCGGTAGAAGCGTGTCTAAAAGAGATGGCCAGGGACCTGGAAAAAACTGCGACACACGGCCAAGGGAGTGGCATCATCATCTCCGACTTATGTTGCATCCTCGGGGGACCTTGTCTGTCCCGTCGCGGCCCTGTCCGCGTCGAATCCGTGTCGAATCCATGTCGGACGCGTCGGATCCGTGTCGAATCCGTGTCGAATCCGCGTCGAATCCAGGCCAAATCCGCGTCGAGTCCGCATCGAGCACGCGTCGGGCCCCCCCAAAAGACACCAATTTTTGGGACAGGCGAGGCCCCCCGAAGATGCAACAGAATCCGACTAGTCCGCCGACGGCGCGGCGGCGGCGGCGGCGAGGAGGGGGAGGAGGGGGGGGGGAGGGGGAGGAGGGAGGAGGAGGAGGAGAGGAGAGGAGGAGGGAGGAGGAGGGAGACCTGGCCGCGGCCCCGCCCAGCCCCAGGCGAGGAGCTGGCCTGGGCCTCCTCTCCTCCTCCTCCCCCCTCCCCCCTCCTCCTCCTCCCCTCCTCCTCCTCCTCCCCCTCCTCCCCCCTCCTCCTCCTCCTCCTCCTCCTCCTCCTCCTCCTCCTCCTCCTCCTCCTCCTTCTCCTCCGACTCCTCCTCCTCCTCCCATAAGTTGAACTTCGATTTCCGCCGACAGGGGCGCCAACGGCCGCGACAACGGCGGCGACGGCCTCGTCGACGCGCCAACGGCGGCAACGGCTCCAACGCCTACAGCAGCGCCAAGGGATCAACTGGCCACGGCGGCAAGAGCTCCGACGGCCACTGCACCCACTGCAGCCGGCGTCTTGCAAAAAGGAATATTCAATAAGGAATGGCTGCTCCTGTTTTGCCCTACCCACGCCCAGAACCAGAGCTCTTACGCCCACAACAGCAAAGGCCTCAATGGCCCCTAGAACTGCCACCATGACCCCAACGCGAAGTACAGCACCTACGATGGCTCGAATGACTAACTAGGCAGGTCTCCAAAAGCCACGCCGACAACACCACTGCCGACCAGGACTCCGGCAGCGCTGAGGGCTCCAACGGCTCCAGCAGCTACAACTTCGGCTGGCAGAACGATCCAGAGGGAAGCGGAGGAGGAAGAAGAGCAGCAGGATGACGACGAGAAGGAGGGGGGCCCACGGTCACACGGCTTCTGTCCGCAGTCCGCAGGCTCGGGCACTTCCCTGACCCCTCCCTGCACGAATCGATCGTTCAAGGACGCTGGCAGCCGATCGGCGAAATATTCTGGCACTGCTGTCCTAGGCCCTTGTCGAGGACAAAGGGGAGCAGCAGGAGAGAGGACGCGGAGGAGGAGGAGGAGGAGGAGGAGGAGGAGGAGGAGGAGGAGGAGGAGGGGGAGGAGAAGGAGGAGGAGGAGGAGGAGGCGGAAGAGGAGGGACGAAGACAGAGGAGCAGCAGGAGGAGGGCATATCCGCCTGATTCTTCGTGCGGGCTCCACGTGTCGGCTGGACGCGCAGCTCGTGCCAACGTTGACACGTCCCAGGACCAGGCAAGCAGGCTCGGGCGCGCTGTCAAGCTCTCGCAGGGGTCTCGAAGGGCTCCTCACCACCACCTCGCTGCAGAGTGATGCAGCTCCCCAGAACTCCCCCTCCTCGTCCGCGCACTGCTCATTGCAGCTGAAGCTGACTGGGCAGGAATCTTCCCGCATCCCTCGCCCGCCTCCCTTGTCGTCTCCCCGTGCCACCGCACCCCCTCCCTCCTCCCTCTTCAGGGGGACCAGATGGGCGCCGGGTCCACTGCGTCCCCGCGTCACTGCTGGGGGGCCCCGCTGCGCGGACCTCTGAGCACCTCTAGGAGAACACATGCGAACCCTTACCCCTACCCCCCACGATTTCTGAGGGGGAGGGTGGGGTTCACTTCGCTCGGGAGCTCTCGAGCGAAGTGAACCCCCACCCTCCCCCTCAGAAATCGTGGGGGGTAGGGGTAGGGCTCGCATGTGGCCCCCTGACCCCGCCCAGCCCCCCCCCCCTCCGAGTCATGACGATGCCGTGGGTGGCCCACTGCATGACAATGAAGTTGAGGTAGAAGTGCGTCGCTCCTGCCGCCCCGCTGGGGTCGCCGCCCGTCACGGGAGCGGGGGCCGGGCCCTGCCATGGCAGGGAGCGCTCGGCAGGAGGAAGGCAGCCGCGAGGAGGGACATTTGTTTTGATTCGCGGGTCGAGAGCGCACCTCTTCCAGTCGAAGCTAAGCGGGCCGCGCGAAGCTTGAATTACGCAGAGAAGAGAAGGAGAAGGGGGGCGCAGCCTCAGAACGAGGCAGGGAGAACCGCGAGGAGGGACAAGGGCTTCGCAACTTTGTGCTGGCGCGCAGTGCAGCGGGTCCTGAAGGGAACGGGTCCCGAGTCCTGGGGCCTTTCTCAGGGACCAGCTTCTCAACCTGAGTCGTTCGCGGGATGCTGGGGTAAGGAGGCCGAAGACGGCGAACAGAAGCCTCAGGACCCGCTTCCCCTCAAGGACCCCCCCCCCTCCCTCACTTCGACCTGGGGTGCCAAACGCTTGGCGCTCGCACGAGCCGTGACGAACCACCTTCAGGGCACTGCTGGCAGAGCGACCTCCTTCCACCAGCAGCCACTGGCGCTCCTCCCCTGGCCTCCGCTCAGACTAAAACGAACGCTAAGTTGGAGAACGGTCAGGATGATACTACACCGGGGCATTGAAATCCCAGCCCTGTAGAAAGGTCCCCGAAACAATCCCACATGCCCTCTGGGCGTAGGTGGTCTAGAGAGGCTCCACTTCGAACCCCCTTACTTCCCTTCGGGGACGGGTTTGCCCCTCCCCCTGCCCCCTCCCCTGGACCTGGACGGGGCGCCCCGCGAGCGGTCAGAGCATCTAAGATGGCCCAAGACGGCTCCACGAGGGCCTCAGAGAGCCGAAGATGACCTCCAAGATAGCACAAGATAGCCCAAAATGCCTCACGATGGCTCCCAAGATGCTCCAAGAGGCCCCAAGAACGTTCCAAAACGGTTCCAAGTGGCCACAGAGCGTCTCACGGAGGCCGCCAAGAGGCCCAAACCCCTTCACAACCGACCGAAAATACATGACTTGTGCCTTCTCGCCTTTTTGCTTTCGGTGGCCTTCCGATGCCTCAAGACAGCTCCAAGAGAGCTCCAGAGAGCCCCAACGAGAGGCCTGAGAGAGCCCCAAGACGGCCCCACGAGCGCCCAAGAGGGCCCCAAGAGCGCTCCAAGAGGGGTCCAAGAGACGATTCTAGGGACTTCAGTCGAAGGGCAAGGCTAATCGAAGCTCCTCCCTTCTTTACTCGATGGCTCCAAGAGCGCCCCCACGCCTCCCAAGAGCGCCACAAGAGGGCCCAAAGAGGCGCCCAAGAGGCCTCTAAGAGGCGCCCAAGAGGCCTCCAAGAGGCCCCAAGAGGCTCCCTGAGGAACGCAAGGGTCGCAAAAGGCCCACGGGACCGCCAAGAGGCCCCCAAAACGCCCCAAGACGCCCCCACTCGCCACTGCCCCCCTCTTCCTCCTCTTCCTCCTCCGCCTCTTCATCCGCCTATTTCCCCCGGGCCTTCTCCTCCTCCTCCTCATTCATTCATTCATTCATTCATTCATTCATGCATTCATTCATTCATTCATGAATCTCTGCAGGCCAGAGGGCGACGTCGCATCTCTGGGTTATACGCCTGGCCGCACGCGCACGCCGTGCCGCGCCGCGCGAGCCTGCCGGCGTGCGCTCGGGGGCCTGCCCCGCCCCGGCCAGGCAGGTGGTCGGCCAACAGCCCGAAGGTGTCCATGGGCTTGTCCAGCAGCACCTCCCGCGGGGAAGCCCTAAATCGGGCGTGTCCCCCTACAGGGGAATTTTCCATGAAAAACAAACAATAATCAACAACATCAAAAATGGGGGAACAAAAATATTCAAAAATCGTCCCCTGACTATTTTTTAAATATTTTTTTCTAAATTCTTCCTGTAGAGAGACAGGCTCGACTTAAGGCAAGTCCCCCCCCCCGGGCGCCACGCGAGGAGGCCCATGGACCACTGGATGGGCAGGCCGCGGACCGCCCACCGCAGCGCGCCCCCGACCCGAGGCGCCGGAGGAGTTGCAGATGCCACGACAATGGACACCCTAACAGTCCTATCATTGAATGTACCATCTGTTCAAAATGTCGGAACATGTTCTAAACATGTTTAATTTTTCCTGTTGAGAACACATGTTCTAGACATCTGGAAATGATTTGCCAACATGCTTCCTCTTCCTTTGATCGTCCTCCACAAGGCAATCGTCAAGAGAGCGTGATGCAGAGACCCTCGAGGTCGTGACTCTTTCGCAACGTCGACCCCCAGAGGTCTGGACCCCTTCCCCGGGACTGTTTTTTCGTCCTGCATGAGTCGTTTTCAGCCGGTCCCGAGGCCCGGTAATCCAGGGCCCCCGGAGGCTGAAGATTGAGAAGCACATCTCGTCGGGTTTGTCTCACGACGCGAGGGGGCCTGGGCGATCCAGGCGATTTTCTCGGGATCTGGCCTCTGTGGGGCCGTGATCGGGCCCCCTGGCCCTCGAGAGCCGATCCGGGAGGAGAAACTGCCCCCGGGGCGGGACCCCCTGATGGCGCGGGCAGAGACGCATAGCAGATGGTCGGACTTCTGGGAACGGGTCCTGGTCCCTGGGGGCTCCCCCCAAGGCCAGATTTTCTTCGTCAAGGATCGTCCTTTGAGTGTCCTGGGGCCCCGGGAGGACCCATGAGACCTGAAAGTACACGCCGGTCGGACGAGGTCGGTAAAAACAAGAAGTAGGAAGGCGGATAAAATAGATTGGGTTCAGGCCCTCCCAGAGAACAACAAAACGCAGCAAAAGCATACCGACTCTTCAAGTAGGAAGGCGCTGGAAATTTATGATCTGGGAATCCAGAAATGCCTGCGTTCAACGACCGGGGTGCACGAAAACTTCCAGAACCTGGATTGGGTTCCTTCAGGACCCCCTTGTCCCCCATGGCGAGGAAGCGCTTCTCGATTGTGGGGCCTCCCAGGGTCGTTCTCAATCCCCAGACCCGTCAGCAGAACATTCGGGGGCGACAGGCCGGTTCTGCATCCCCCTGATCGCCCTCCTCCTTCTCCTTCCTCTATACTCCTCCTCCTCCTCCTCCTCCTCCTCCTCCTCCTCCTCCTCCTCCTCCTCCTCCTTCTCACGCCCATTCCTCCTCCTGTTCCCCACCGCCTGGACGCGTCGACGCCGCCGAGCCGCGGGAAGCACGCTGCCCAAGCGCCTGCGGACGGCTACGTTTATGTCGGGCCTGCCCCCCTACAGGGGGATTTTCGACGATAAATAGAACATACCCCGAAAAGGCCAAAAAATATTCACAAAATAGTCCCCAGACTATTGTTTGACTATGTTTCGATTTTGGTTTGGGGTATGCTTTATTTGTCGTCGAAAATCCCCCTGTAGGGGGACAGGCCCGACCCAAAGCCACGTCGACCGGGCAGGGGCAGAGGGCCGGGCGGAGGCACGCCAGGCCTCCGACGACCCCTGCGCGGCGCCCCGCAGGCCCCGACCCTTTCGCCTCGCAGGAGAGCCCCGCGAGCACATCGCGCGCCGGGCCACTGGGCGACGGCGCCCCCGCGCGGCAGCCACGGGAAGCGTCGCCCGCGCGGCTCTGCGCTGCCCGTCGCCCCGGCGAGGACTGGAAGGCGGAGCTCAGATATAGACCAGTCGTCAGGAAATGCTGGGAAGCGCAAGTTGACAGCATGTAGAGGGCTGAGATCGGTCTGCGTCCAGAGCTGCGAGGAAACAACTATCTACGCTCTTCGAATTTGAGATCAGCAATGCTGGTTTTCTCTCTTATTTCGAGCTGTACGCAACTACAGAGCGGAGCGGGACCACGGCCGCCCCAAGGACCCGGACTCCCAACGTCGCGATTCCGGATCGCAGCGCAGGCCTCCGCATGCCTCGGCCCCTCCCTCCAGGGCGGCTGCTGTCACCCCGAGCACGGCGAGGGCCTGACGAGCCCGAGAGCGGCGCCAACGCCCCCGGGCTGGTGTCCTGCAGCTGGCGGCGCGCACAAGGGGTTGGCGCTAGGGCGGCGGGCTTCTGAGGAGGCGGAGGGCATCTTAGGAGGCAGAGGGCCTGGACGCTTCCGAGAGGGCGTCTGAGAAGCCGGCAGGGGCTTCCAACAGGCCCCCATGCCTTCTCAGAAGCACCCCCGCCTTCTCAGAAGGCCGCCCCCCGCCTTCTCCTCTTGTGCGCGCCGCCAACTCGGGGCCCCATCCTGCTGAACACACATGGGGGACCAGCAGCACCAGCAGGAGGAGGACAGCAAGGGTGAGATGGAGCGGGAGAAGTATCAGGATTTAGAGACGGAGGAGGAGGAGAGGGGAGGAGGAGGAGGAGGAGGAGGGAGGAGGAGGAGGAGGAGGAGGAGGAGGAGGAGGCGGAGTAGGAGGAGGATGAGGAGGAGGCGGAGGAGGAGGAGGAGGAGGAGACGAGCGTACGATGGGGGGCGGAGGAGGAGGAGGAGGAGAAGGAGGATGAGGAGGAGGAGGAGGAGGCGGGAGGAGGAGGAGGAGGAGGGGGAGGAGGAGGAGGAGGAGGAGGAGGAGGAGGAGGGGAGGAGGAGGGGAGGAGGAGGGGAGGAGGAGGGGGAGAGGAGGAGGAGGAGGGAGGAGGAGGAGGAGGAGGAGGGGAGGAGGAGGAGGGGAGGAGGAGAGGGGAGGGGGGGGGGGGCGGCGCCGCGCTGGCGACGCTCATGGCTCTGGCCGGCCGCTGTCGCCTCGGCGGCGTCGGCCCCCCTGCAGGCTCGGGGCGGCGCTCCCATGAGCTCCGCGCACGGGAGGACGAGGAGGGGTATTCAAGACTCGTGCAGGGGAGTCTCCTGGAGCCTACTCGTGCGTCAATGCTCCGTCGATCGTCCGTCGATTTAACTTGAGCTTGAGCCGAATTCGTGTCAAACTCGGGTCGAACCCGGGTCGAACTAGAGTCGAACTCGGGTCGAACCCAGAGTCGGCCTACAGTCGGGCAGATCCGTTGGTTAGGTGAGACCCAAGGAAGTCCCCCAAAGGAGCATCTCAAGAGGAGGAGGGATGGATGAGGATGAGGAGGAGGAGGAGGAGGAGGAGAAGGAGGAGGGAGGAGTGAGGAGTGAGGAGGGAGGGAGGAGGGAGGAGGGAGGGAGGAGGGAGGAGGGAGAGAGGAGGGAGGGAGGAGGGAGCAGACAGGATGATAAGGAGACCGAGAGAAAGGAGCGCACGCAGCTGGGGGGGAGCGCGACGGCGCGGCTGGGCGGCAGGCAGGGGCGGGTCGCGCTGCCGGCAGGCCGCTGGCAGCCGTGACCGGCTCGCAGGAGGTGGACGACCCGGGCATCTTCCGATACTCGTAGCGGGCGCCGCGCAGACGTGGATCGGCGATCCATGGGTGTGTCGCGGGGTCGCCAAATCCATGGATCGGGGGAGGTGCCCTGCCCAAAATTTGGCCGGTGCCGCCTCGCTCGGCGGCGGAAATCCGCGATGCCCCATGGAAACGGGGCCCGTCGCTAATCCACGCCCCCTTGATCCATGTCTGCGATCGCCCGATACTCGGAGGGGCAAGGAAAGGCGAATCAACACCACCAGGGCGAGGAGATGCGAGGATGCGCAAAGGGGGGCCTCCCTGGTGGTATGGTCCCCTCCCCCCTCGCTCGAGGCATCCCCTGTCCCCAGCTCGGGGAGGCATCGTGGACCTCCTCGCTGGTGGCCCCCTGGTGGTGTTTGCGTCGATCCCTCTTCCCCATTCCTTCGTGGGCGGGGAACAGATATAAGGAACCGAACTCTATACACCGACGCTTCCTCCGGCCCTGCACTGAATAATTGCACAGGGACGCGGATCCTGGTGCATATGTACGGGATCGTGGTGTGTTATTATTTCCGTTGCTTCCCTGGGGAACCGGAAACAACAAGCACACACCGCACCACCCAGACGCCGCCGCCCCCGACCCTCCAAGAGTCCGGGGATGGAGGAGAAGCCCGCCACTGGTGGCGTATATACACGCTCCAGCAACCGAACATCCACAACATCCATGGCCTCGCGAACGGGGCCCCCGGGCCTCGACCCCCTGCCGTGGACGTGGGGCGCTGGTCCGCGGGCGACCCGAGCGCAACGCACCCGTGCGACCGCGCGCCCCCGGGATCGCGCCCCAGAGTCCAGGCCGCGAGGGCGTGGACACGGAGATGTCCGTCGCTCGTGGGGCACGACTTCTGTCTATCCGCGGCCCCAGAATTCCTAACCTCTGCCCCAGGGGCTGGTGCCACGTCCCGGGCCAGTGTTGGTGGCCCCCGGGCCCGAGAGAGCGGGCATCCCAGAGGCCGGGGTCCACGAGAAAAGCACGGATAAAAACAGCCAGCCAGCACTCGGATCACTCGAAACAGCGGTGGCCGCGGGACGGTCGGCGCCAAACATGGGTCGGCGGCGAGCGGGGGGGGGGAAGGGAGAAGGGGCGGGCCTTCTCAGAAGGCTCGGAAGCACCCCGGTCTTCTGAAAAAAGTGTTCGAGGCCTTCCCGAAGGCACAGAGAACCGCTCAGGAGGCCAGAGGCCCTCGGATCAGTTTCGTCGTCTTCTGAGAAGGCCGTTTCCTGCCCACGTCCTCCCCTCGCTCGCCGCCGAGTTGGGGAGTCCTTCACCCAAGCAACCAGTTTGGTAACTTCCTGACTGCGGCGCAGGGTCGAGAAGCCTGTGCTATTAGCAATGGAGGGGGAGGAGGCGGAAGAGGAGGAGGAGGAGGAGGAGGAGGAGGAGGAGGAGGAGGAGGAGGAGGCGGCAGCGGAGGAGGCAGAGGAGGAGGAGCAATGCAGGGGCAGCGGAGGAGGAGGCAGAGGAGGCGGCGCCGCCTTGATCTTGTCCAGCAGAGACCCGCCCACCGCCGCGACCAGGATGATGAAGATCGTCTGGAACCAGAAGTAGACGGTCTGCAATCGCTGCTGCGCCTTCCGCGGGCCCCAGCCTCCTCCTCCTCCTCCTCTCCTCCTCCTCCTCCTCTCCTCCTCCTCCTCCTCCTCCTCCTCCTCCTCCTCCTCCTCCTCCCTCCGCCTCTCTCCTCGTCCTCGTCCTCGTCCTTGTCCTCGTCCTGGTGATCCTGCTCCTGCTCCTGCTACACCTCCTCCTCCTCCTCCTCCAAGAGTTTCTTCCTGTTCCTGTTCCTCCTCCTCCTCCTCCTCCTCCTCCTCCTCCTGATCAGCAAGATTATCATCACTGTCATCCTGCGCCTCCTTCTCTTCCACAATTGCACATTCTAGGAACTACTCTCCTCGCTCCCCTGACCCTGTCAAGAAGATGTTCGGCCCTATCCGCCTACTGTTTCCACACGCACAGAGGTTTCTAAGCGTTGCTCGTACACTCCGATTGCATTCGACGTTTCAAAATGGTGCTCCCGCTGGAGCGTGGGCTTCATTATCAGATCAGCGCCTTGCTCCCGTCCTTCTCAATGGCGCTCTCGCCCCAGCGCAGCCCCACTCTTCTGGATCTGAATCTTTCTTTCATCGTTGCCGCCCCCCTCGTTTCCCCTCCTGTCCCTTCCCCTCGATGTCCGGCTACTCCCGCTCCCTCCGCTCCAGCTCCTGTTGCTGCTGATGCTCCTCGTCGTCCTCCTGGCGTGTCCTCCTCACTGTCCTCCCGCTCATCCTCCTGCTCACTTGCCGCCTCCTCGTCCAATGCACGCAGCTCCCGTGCTTACGGATCGCGCAAAACGCGGTGGGCCCTCTTGGAAATCCCAAGTCCGCTGTGACCCGCGTCGGCGCACAAAGAACACACAGCGCAATCGGGAGGGATTGGTGGGAGGGGAGGCACGTCGAGGCGCGAGCGCGCCTCGCGTGCCGTGTTCCCCTCTCCTCTCACCACCGCACCCCCCTCCCGCACACTCCTGCCCGACCCTCCCCAACTGCCCCATCTGCCTTCCCGTGCTCGTCCCACCCCCGCCCCTGCCCCTAGCACTCCCTCCCGCGCCCCAGATGTCCACCTCCACCGCTTCCCCTCTGCCTCCTCCTCCTCCTTCTCTTCCTGCTCCTCCTAATCCTCATCATCACCATCATCACCGTCGTCATCATCATCATCATCATCATCATCATCATCATCATCATCATCATCATCATCATCATCATCATCAGCATCAGCATCAGCATCATCATCAACAACATCATCAACATCATCAGCAGCATCATCAACATGATTATCAGCAGCATCGGAAACATCATCATCATCATCATCATCATCATCATCATCATCATCATCATCATCATCATCATCATCATCATCATCATCATCATCATCATCATCATCATCATCATCATCATCATCATCATCATCAATCATCATAATCATCATCAAGGTCATCAACATCACCAGGCGGCTCATGAACCGCATCACCATCATGACCAGCATCAGCATCACCGTCGTCATCATCAGCACCAGCATCATCGTCATCATCGTGATTGGCATCACCAGCATCATCAGCATCATCATCCTCAGCATCATCGTCATCATCGTCATCAGCATTATCATCATCAACATCATCAGCACCACTATCACCATCACCATCACCATCACCATCACCATCACGAGCATCATCATCATCACCATCATCATCATGTTCATCATCAGCATCATCATCATCATCATCATCATCATCGTCATCATCATCGTCAACATCAGCATCAAGATCATCGTCCTCCTCCACCCTCGTCCCCCGCCTCCCATATTGCTCCTCCCCGCCCTCGCCCGTCCTGTGGCGCCCCCGGGGCGAGCGGGCGGGAGCCAGAAGGAAGGCGGGGGGGGGGCGCGCCCACGCGTGTGCACCCGTCAGGTAGCACCGGTAGATGATCATCATCAGGACCGTCGGGAGGCACGCGGTGAACAGCGTCAGGGCTGTGCGTGCGGCACGAGAGGGCGCAACAGCGTGCGACCCTCCTGCTGCCCATCCCCTGCGGCTCCTGCGGCTGCCTGCTCCCGCTCCTGCTCGGCCCCTTGCCCACCATCATCAGGACAGGAGGAGGAGGGGGAGGAGGAGGAGGAGGAGGAGGAGGAGGAGGAGGAGGAGGAGGAGGAGGAGGAGGAGGAGGGGGAGAGGAGGAGGAGGAGGAGGAGGAGGAGGAGGAGGAGGAGGAGGAGGAGGAGGAGGAGGAGGAGGAGGAGGAGGAAGGAGGGACTGATGCACAGGGGGGGGGAGGTATGGGCAGAGGCAGGGGCGCCGGTATAGGCCGAGGAAGGGACGATGACGATGGTGGAAGGGAGCAAGATCGCAGGAAGAGGAGCACGAGACGGATGATTTCTAGAACAAGAAAAAACTACATAAACATAAACTTTCGGCCCTCCGCGCGGACTTCCAGGATCTGCGCTAGGCCCCCCTCCCTAGTGCGCGGAGCGCGCCAGGTGCGGCGCCAGAGGCGCCGCCCGGGAGTGCCCAGCGCGGATCCAAGAAATCCGCGCGGAGCGCCACAAGTTTATATGAATGCTGTGTTCTCTTCTTCGAACTTCCACCAGACAAGGACGACCAACTCTGGCCCCGCGGCTGAACGCCTGGCCGCGAGCAAGCGACACACACGGATCCAGACCGAGGCGCACGGGCAACGCACACGTCCCCCCCCCCCGCACCCCGCACAGCTGGGAATGCGAGGTGGGAGGCAGCCCCTTAAGACATCGCAGGCGGCCGCGCGCAGAGAGAAGAAGCAGACGATGCGACAGTACGCGATCAGGAAGCCAGCTTTGGAGTGCCGACGCGGCAGCGAGGAGCACTCCAACTGCGGCCAACGTCGGGGCGTGAGTCTGTCGAGTTTGAGAAGAACTGGGTCGACTCCCTCGTGGGCTTCTGTACCATTCCCCCCACCCGCCGTCGCCAGCAGGGAGAGTGCAAACTCGGATATGCGATCCCATATAGGCAGAGCGTGTCGTAGATGGTCCAAGTACTCTGTCGACATCTGCTCCATAATCCGATGAAAGAGAGTCGGGACCCGAGGCAACCGGCAAGTCAGACAGCAGCTGGCGGTGAATCTCCTCCATCTGCACCAGACTGGCGATGTCATCGAACTTGGAGTAGTCACTGGGCTTGGAGATCAGGGATATCCGCGGGGGCTGGGGACAGGCCGCCGCCAAGGGGCATTCAAATCTTCCCGTCTGTGCCACAGATGCGGCCTTCAGCATGAATGAAGACACAATGCTTGCGATAGCAATTTTGCCCAAAAATGCAGAGCCTCGCAGCCGGTGAAGACGATGAAGAGAGAGAGCGAGAGAGAGAGAGAAGAGAGAGAAGAAAGAGAGAGAGAGAGGGAGAGAGGGAGAGAGAGAGAGAGAGAGAGAAAGAGAGAGAGCGCGAGAGAGAGGGAGAAAGAGAGAGAGAGAGAGAGAGCGCGAGAGAGAGAGAGAGAGAGAGCGGGCGGACCCTGGCTCGATGTTCGCAGAGCGCCAGCAGAGTCAGGCGAGTGTCCACGGAACATGCTCTTCATGCGGGGGCGAACTGCTCCTCAGGACTCCCGGCGGCCTCCGGTACGGGGGCAAGCACCAACCTCCGACGGCCCCCCCCTCCCCATCCGACGAGCTGCCTTTTCGACGGCGTGGGCCCGCAGACCTCTCGGCGAGGATCCTCGGAGCCGCATGCTCGCCGCAGCCAATCTTCCTGATGGCCCCGGGGGCCCAAGAACGAACGGCCCCCAGAAGGCAAACGTTGGACGCACTTCTGTGAGCAGCAGCGTGCAGACGCACTTCTGTGAGCAGCAGCGTGCAGGTCCGAAGGGCGATGTAGCAGCAGCCTGGACGCGGCAGAACTGCTTGCGCACTGAACGTGTGGACGGGGCAGAGAGCGGCCGCGGAGGAACACGGAGGAGGAAACCGCGCTCACGGCTACTTTGCGCAACGCTAGACACACTTGGTACTCCTCCTGCGACGTGTCGGCGCTGTCACCACGGGCCACCCACAAGCAGTAGATTTGCCATTCCGCGCTGTGGATGGAGGGCAAGAGGGAGACCGCAAGCGGGCGTGCAAGGAGAGCGTTGCATCCAGCTCTGTGGATGAGGCAAGCGGTCGCCGCAAGCAGGCGCGAATAGGAACCGCACTGGCAACGCGGAGCGCGCCCACGCTCGGCGACACGCGGCCGTCACCATTCTCCGAAGCACCCCTTCGCGCTGCGTGCGGCGGCCTCGCCCTTCTCCTGCGCGCGGGCCAGCGGTGGACCGGAACCGGTGGCGCGAGGGCCTGGCTGCCGCGAAGTTGTCACCCCGCGACGCAGCGGTGGCGAACGCCAGCGCCGCCACTGCGCCTCTCTCAGAGCAGCCGGGCCGCCTGCTCTCCCAGCGGAGGGGAGGAGGGAAGAGGAGGGGGGGGAGGTCAGGTAAGGCGCTCAGGGGGCGGATGCGGCGTCCTTCGGAAAGGGGGCTCAGACGCCTGTGTGTCTCTGCGATGTGGAGGACTAGAAGGACGAAGCGGAGGAGGGAAAGGAGGAAGAGGGCGGGGAAAAAAGGCAGACGATGATGAAGGGCGGAGAGGGAGAAGGTCATGGGCATGGTCATCCGCATAAAGGGGGGCCAACGTCAACACCACCGAAGGAGATGCGCCTGCAACTAGCAAAAAACCCTGCGATTAGATTATGCCGCAACCCCTAGACTTCTCATGGAGCGGGCATTCCCCTGAGCTCAAAGGGTCGCTTCGCTGAATCAAACGAATCCCTACGAATCAGTGCGAGGCGAACAGCTGCCGGCCTTTTCGCGCGCCCCCTTTGGGGGACGCGCTGGCGAACAGGGTTCCCAAACTAGGGGGGTTTCCCGAACCCCTCTTTAATTTGCGAGACAGAGATCCTGCACTCCGAGACGCCCCCCCCCCCCCTGGCCCCCCCCCGCTCCAAAATAGCTCCAGCACTCCGAAATGTCCTCGCTCGTGCTCTCCACTCACTGCGCCGCGACAGATGCTTCCCGCGCCAAACGCACTCAGAATCCGCTGCCCGCGCCAAACGCGCTCAAGAATGCTTCACTTCCGCTCTTTCCGTTATTGCGAGGTCACAGCTATCCCGGAAAATCTGGGGATACGTGCGGCACGCGCAGAGGGTTGAACGAGGACGAGACTTCCCCATTCTGAAAGAGCGTAAGCTTCACGGGGTAGCAGTTGTGAATTTGTCTCCCACTCTGGCATTCACTCCAGCAGCGCTTTCCCATCCAGAAAGAGCGGGCTCCACTTCTGCCAAAATGCGCACTGTGCCGCTGGAAGCCAATTTGCGCCGTAATTCGTCCGCAGAAATACAATGGCCAATGTTGTTCCAAATAATGCCAAACATGCCGTCCGCAGTTCGCTCGTTGCGCTTCCGTGTCCTCGCTTCTATGACAAACCCTTCAACAGCTGTGTTTTCAACCACTAAGAGGTCCGAGGGAGCCCCCGTTGGGTAAGCTTACCGGTCCCTTGGCACAGCCTTCCACTCCTTCCCACTCCTTCTCCACCCCCTCCGGACCTGTACAATCCCTCGGCGAAGCAAAAACCAAGTACTTCAACAACTTCTCCAGTGGACATCACCGTTTCCGTACACAGTGGTTGCAAAACGCTCTCTGTGATTCCTTTGTTGGTCGCTGTATGAATTTCAGAAGCGTTGCGATCTCAGGATTGTCATTGAGCAGCATGGGTTTTCGAAGTTCGTCATCGGCACCACTCGGTGGCCTCTGAACCTCAGGGGCTCCACCTACCCAGACCTTCTCTATCCGGCGGCGAACAAACGTGTCGATCTCCTGGGTCAGCCTTTCCAGAAATTTGGTCTGGCCTCCATCTTACCAGATCTCCTTCTCGTCCGTTTCCCCTCGGGAGTCCATGGCTTTCGAGGTCCACCATCGGCAGATGCCAATGACCTCCGAACCTCGGGGCCTCCATCTTCCCTCTTTGTCGCCTGCTTTCGTCTGCACTGCGGCGGGCTATGACTGTTGTCCTCCAACAGAGCGGTCATGAGTTTTCGAGGTTCGTCACTGGCGAAAGCCAATGGCCTCCGAACCTCGGGGCCTCCATCTTCCCTCTGGCTTTTGTCGTTTAACTGATCTAGCGGACGGGCATACGAATGCCGAACTGGGCCAACGGGGCTCCATTGCCGCAGTTGGTCTTCTATCTCCAGCGTCATCATTTCCAAACGATTCGTTCTCTGTTTCTTTGACTCCTTATTCGAGACAGGGCCAAACTCCTGGCGCAGCTGTTCTCAAGACTCTTAGTTGTTAATGGTTTTCGAGGCTCGGACTTGTTTTGGGTGTTCGAGGTTCTTCATTGGCAGCCTTGGGTTGCCACCGAACCTCGGGGCCTCCATTTTCCTTCTGGTAACTGCTGTGTAACGATGAAACTTGATAAACCAATTGTTCGCAACTGGCAACCCTAACAATCTGGCATTTCCGAACATGGGTACGGCGGATCCGTTCTCTGCGTTTTTTCTTTAATACGAAAATAAGTATCAACAAAAATCACACTCCAATCCTCCACAGACATGGAAAGTTGCGGCACCAGAAAATTCCGTCACCAGCTTACGACCCTGTTGCGCGGGAAGGTGTCGTAGAAAATGCAGTATCGGAGCGGTTGCAAGGGATTGTTTCTTCTCTCCGCTCCTCCTCCCCCATGCTCCCTCTCGCCCACCCGACCGGGATTGGAGAATGAACGAGGCAGCAGTCGTGTGTGCACTCCAGTGAAAATCCTCACTCCATCGGAGCTCAAATTACCTGGGCCTCCAACGCCGGCTAGGATGAGAACGAACAGCAGGAGGAGGATGAGGGGGAGGAGGAGGAGGAGGAGGGGGAGGAGGAGGAGGAGGAGGAGGGGGAGGAGGAGGAGGAGGACGAGGAGGAGGAGAAGGAGGAGGAGGAGGAGGGAGGGACGGGGGGGGGTCCTTCGAAATATGGTTTGTTCAAGGGGGGGGGGCATGAGGTTTGGGGGGGTGCTTGATGTTGGAGGGGGCTCGCGGAACTCTGCAGGAGCAGGGCTGATTCCCAGACGCCGCCCCGTGACTGTATTGGGAGACTCGCTCTGTAGTGTTTATGTCCTACGATGGTTTTCGGAGTTGGCAACGAACACATGCACACATCAATGCAACTCTGTACGGGCAACTCTTGCAGAATATGACACACAAAGATCACACGCGGCGTATGCATGCGTGGCCGGCCTAGAGACGACAATACGCCCTCCATCACGGAGAGCAAGAGCGGATATTGAGCTATGTACTCGCTGGTGACGGGCATTGTCTTCTCGAGCTTCTGCAAGTCGGTGAAATCTGCCCGCGCCCTTTCAGCTCATAAATGCCCCTGCCGCACCATCCCCCCGATGCGCTCCTTTTCCACGGTACTGCCCACATGGAAAGAGTAGCTCTGCGGACGTGTGGCCGAAGAGGGTTAGCACGAGACCTCTGCGCTTCGTCTGAGTTCTCCCACCTCCCTCCAAGCAACACTGGCGAAATTCCTGCACATCCAGAGAGAAGAAGGCAGAAGAAGAATGTCCCTGCCCTCCCGCTGCATACCACTCCGCCCCTCCAGGCTCTCTCCCCTGCGGGAAGACGGCCCTCCCTCCTCCTCCTCCTCCTCCTCCTCCTCCTCCTCCTCCTCCTCCTCCTCCTCCTCCTCCTCTCCTCCTCCTCCTCCTCCTCCCCCCCTCTCCTCCTCTCGTCCTCCTCTCCCTCTCCTCCTTGCCCCCCCTTTGTCCTGCTTCTCGCCCACCTTCACCTCCTCCACCTCCTCCTCATCGCCACTCCTCCTCCTCTCCCCTCCTCCTCCTCCTCCTCTCCTCTCTCTCCGAATCATCATCATCATCATCATCATCATCATCATCATCATCATCATCATCATCATCATCATCATCATCATCATCATCATCATCATCATCATCATCATCATCATCATCATCATCATCATCATCATCATTTTCCTCCTCCACTCCGTTCTTTTTTTTGACGTTGGTCATACATGAGCATCTAAGCTGTTGCGTTCTTCTCTTCCCTCCTCTACTCCTCGCCCTCCTCCTCCCACTCCGCCTCACAACCGATCCCAGGACCGCATCATGGAGCGCAGCCTGGCCAGCAAAAAAACTTCGGGGCGAACCCGACCGTGGCGACGACTGCCCCCGAGGAGCCTCGGACACGTCCAGGCCCCTCCTTGTCCGCCATGCAGAGCACGGGTCCCGAGGCACGCAGGTCCTGGGCCCCAGGACTCTGCCGGGCGCCGGAGCACGGCACAGCAGGAACTGCTTCGCCGTCGGGGGCACCCGTCGGAGAGGGACCGGAACGAGACGTTCGTACCCCGACGGTGGCAGGCGGGGGGCAGAAGCTCTGCAGCCGCCCTGGGGCGGGCGCCCCCGACGGCGGGTAACTTTGTGTTGTGCCGTTCCTCGTCCGCTAACGTTGCCTTGTGGATGCCATGCCAGCGGACACTCTGAAAGTGATGGCTCTGACTGGGAACTGAGCTTTCGATGTTCAACGTGTTGAACACGGCTTGTCACATGTGTTAAGCATGTGTTCTACTAAATGTCAAGACATGCTTAAACCATGTCTTCAAGCATCTGGCAAGCATACGTCAACAAGCCTCCTTACCACTGATCGGCTTCCGCACACTTTGCCCCGCACTAACTCTGCACCCCGAGTCGTGCTCTGACGGTGCCGGCCCCCTCAAAGCCCCGGCCCCCCTCCAAGCCCCGGGGGGCCCGAGAACAGCCAAAAACATGCACGTGCCCGTTCCTTCATGTCGACTCCTCCTCCTGCTCCCCGCCCCTCGACACTGGGCCGCCTGCCTGACAGGAGGGTCACGATGGGCACGAAACCGATGAAGATCGCGAAGATCGCGCCGTGGCCCTCCGCGCCCGCTGACTCTCTTCCTCCCCGTCCTCGCCGTCCTCCTCGTCATCTTCTCCTCCTCAACCTCCTCCTCCTCCTCCTCCTCCTCGTCCTGCCAATCGCGCTCGCCCTCCCGCTCCGCATCGTCGTCGCCCTCCTCCGTCTCGTCGTCCTCGTTCCCCTCCTCGTCCTACCACATCCCTTTTCCTTCCAAATAACTTCTCCCTGTCGCATCCCGAGACGTGTCGGTAATTAGGGCGGGCTGGGCGTTTCGCATTCGACTCCCTCATCATTTATGATCCTTAGGCTAAGAACTTGCAACAGTAACACGGATGGAGGGCGGACCGTTTTCGAAATGTGACGAGCGCCTGAACGCCGCGTACATTCGTCGAACAAGTCTGCATGAGTTTCACGGGTGGATGGCAGGCAATTTTCATCATGCGGTTCTCTCCTTAGCGGCGCGCGCAGTCGACTTTTATTAATACGCGCAGGATTTTCACGGAGGGTGGGCGGCTACTTCTCGACATGTGGCTCTCGTCCCAGCGCCGCGCACGTTCGACGCACCCGCTTCCTGGAGCTGCGCAGGTGGAGGGCGGCTCTCTATCGCAAAGGTCGCCCTCGCCGGAGCACCGCGCACATTCGTCTGCCAAAGCTTGCCAGGGCTTCGCACTATGGAGGACGGCTCTTACCCAGAGTGGGGGCCGGGAGACGACAGGCACACGACGACGACGAGCGCGCGGGCGGGAGGCCCAGGCGGCCGGGCCGAAGCAGCGGCGCCGGCCGGGCGGGGCAGCAGCAGCACGACCAGCGTGGCGCTCCCGGTGCTCAAGGGGGGGGCCCCTCCTCGCGGTCGGCTCTCGCTGCAGCTCGGCGGGGGGTCCCCCGTTAACCCGCCTCGAACTTATCCATATCCCTAAGATGGGCGAGCAAAAAGCGAGGACAATCTCAGGGATATAGGCCCTCAGAAACGGAGGGAATCCTTAAGATCGGCATCGAGGCGAGGTGACGTCAGACATAGGGATAGGGATACGTTTCAAACTGGTAACCCGTGCCCCCGCGGGCGGGGGGCCCAGGCGGCCGGGCCGAAGCAACGGCGCGGGCCCAGGCGGGGCAGCAGCAGGGCGACCAGCATGGTGCTCTGGCGGCTCGGCGGGGGGGGCCCCTCCTCTGGCCGGCTCTCGCCGCAGCTCGGCGGGGGGGCCCCCGTTAACCAGCCTCGAACTTATCCCTATCCCTGAGATGGGCGAGCAAAAAGCGAGGACAATGTTAGGGACAGGCCCTCAGAAACGGAGGGAATCCTCACGATCGGCATCGAGGTGAGGTGATGTCAAACATAGGTCGGGAGCGGCCAAGAGGGGGTGTCCAAGAGGGGGGGGATGCAAATCATGACCGGCGGCATGTGCGCGGCCCAGCGGGGGGGCCAGGGACGTAATGAAAGAAGAAGAGGCGCCATGAGTTCTGGGGAAATATCATTGCCCCCGCCATGAGATCCACCCCCCCTAGTCATCACCCCCCTCTTTTCCGCCCCCGAATGAGGATAGGGGTATGTTTCAAACTGGTACCCCGTGCCCCCCGCGGCCCCTCCAGGAGCGCCATCAGGGCCCGGTAGTGCGGGGAGTACCGCAGGTCGTTGTAGATCACGTCCTTGGCGGCGTGCGCGCGGCGGGGCGCCGCGAGCCGAGGGGCGGCAGCGCAGCGGCCGCGGGGGGTCTGCTTTGGGGGAGCGAGGAGCACGTCGATGGCTTAAGGGGCTCGGACAGCTGTAATGATGCGCAGGAGAACAATTCTTTCCAAATATATTCCAAAGTCAAACACTTCTATCCAATTAATTTAGTGAATAGTCACGTAACGAACACAAATATATCTTCATGCCCAATGAGGAATTACATGACCTATTAATGATTTTTCCCGCGGCGGCATGCCATTGACAATGGCATGCCGCAGCGGGAAAAGCAGCACGCCGTGCAGCTGTTGACGGAACACCCAGTGTTCAGACCACACGCGAGGGGGCAACACGCTGCTGGGCTCCCAACGGCTGGGTATCCTTGATCCCCTCGTGCCTGCTAGTAGCTATGCGGGTGCGGCTGGATTCGCCTCCGAGTTCTTGCCCAGAACGCATCGCAGGGATGAGTCAAGGGAGGCATTTTATCGGGAGCGGCCAAGAGGGGGGTGTCCAAGAGGGGGGGGTGCAAATCATGACCGGCGGCATGTGCGCGGCCCAGGGGGGGGGCCAGGGACGTAATGAAACAAGGAGAGGCACCATGAAATCTGGGGAAATATCATTGCCCCCGCCATGAGATCCACCCCCCCCCTAGTCATCACCCCCCTCTTTTCCACCCCCGATTTTATCAGACAGGAATCACGTCTCTCGTGTCACGAGCAGATCTCGCGGCGGCCCGTCCTTCGTGCGCCCGGGCATTCTGGACGCCTGGCCCCTGCCGCCACAGATCGGCCTGGCCCAGAGCCCTGGTCCTCAGGAGGAGGGCTGGAGCCCCGAGGGCCCACGTCACGAAAGCATCGAGTCGTCGAGGGCTTGTGCATGCCGCAGAATGCTCCGACGTGGTCGCCGAGGGTCGATGACTGCTCGGCCAACGTGCCTTGGCCTCCGAGGGCTCCCCAGGCCGGGTGCCCAGGACCTTCCCTGCCCCAGACGGCGCCAGGACCCCGCCAGAGGCTCCCGGGGGGGCCTCCACAAGCGCCCCGAGGTGCCCTCCAGAAGAACCCACGGGGCCTCCGAGGGGTCTCTGACCCCTGCTGCAGGCACGGTGGCGGGGTGGGCTGGAGGCCTGGAGGTCTTGGGAGGCTGCAGTGCGAGCGGCAGCGGAGCGATGGTCGGCAGAGGCTCATCGCGCGGGGGGGAGTGGCCAGGAGACCACGCAAATTGTCAGGGTCGGAGAGGCGGCGCAGAGAGGAGCACGTGATGAGCGCGGCCAATCAATCCCGCACCTCAACGTCTTGACATCTCACCCCGCCGTGGAGTCCCGAGTCGCATTTGCAGCTTGTGGCTCTCTGGGTTGCGCCATAGGTTGCTCCAGGCAACATGCTGGCAGCCCGATCGTCCGTGGCCTCGAAGCGTATCCCATGGGATGCGCAACAAGTTACCCACAGGACGCAACATTGCGCGCTGTCGAGGGTGAGTGTCACATGCTGCGCCAGCCACGCCGCGGGCAACCACACCGACCGCTGCCTCAGTGAAATAACCACAGGTGGCGCCGATTACCCCGCGGGCATCCGAAACGTCTGTTGCCTTTGTAAAACGACCCCGCACAAGCTGTTGCATTGCGCCGTGATGTGCGCCATAGGTTCACCATACGCCCCGCGATGACATGAAATCTTCGGGTGTTTCAGCGGGAATGCTACGGATTGCAACCGTGGGGGTGCTACATACTGGGGTGGCATACTATGCGCCACACACCTCGCGATCCCCAAGCCGTCCGGTGCCCCAACTTGGTGTGGCCCATTCTGTGTAATGTGTACTGCGCCATCGGCTGCGCCAGGCATCCTGCAATCTACCAAACCGTCCGTTCGGGGAGCAGCCCCTTCAGTCTAGTAAATATTACGCCACGGGCATCGCTAGACCTCCAACGAATCACAAGAACGCCCACTTCCTCAATGGGTGTGCCGTAGGTTTCATCAGCAGGTGTGCCAGCAGCTGCGCCAGTTACCCCGAGATCCATCAAATCGTCTCTGTCTCGTTCGGTTCCCATTCCCACACCAGCTTCGCAGCATTCGCAGCATTCGCAGCTTGGGGAGAATGTCGTCCTCTGCGTGCGATTGCACACTAGACACTAGATTGCGCCAGAGACACCGCAATCCACCAAATCGTCCGATGGCGATGCCTCAATGAGTACACTATTTCGCCATGCGTTGCGCAATAGGTGGCGACATACCCCCCCTCGACAATCAACCAAATCTTCGGCTACCTCGATGGGTGAACCATCACGCCATACGTTGTGCCGTAGATTCCGCCAGATGGCCGTCAACATCCCGATCGTCCGTTGACTCAGAACGTGTGCCATTGCGCCATAATTTGCGCCACAAAGTGCGCCAAACACACCGCAATCCACAAAACCGGCAGTTGCCTCAATGTGTGTGCGTGTGTTTGGACACCCTGTCGCTGCGCGCGGGGCCGTGACTCCCAAATCGTGTGTGTGTGTGTGTGCGCGCGCCAAGGCGTCATAGATTGTGCCACTGGTTGTACCTCCAGAAAGCACACCGCAATGCACAAACTCGTCCGTTGCCTGAGTGGGCACACCATTGCGATGTACGTTGCGCCATCGATTTCCTAAGCATTTCGCAAACCACTGGCTCGTCCGTTGCCTCGGTGGGTGAACCTTGGCGAAATATGATGCAACAGTGTGCGCACCATTGCACCACCAGTTGCGCCAGACCCACCGCAATCCACCAAATCCTCCCTTGCCTCAGCGGGTGGACCATTACGCCACAGAATGCACCCTAGGTTTCGTCAGACCCCGCAATCAACCAAATCGTCCGTTGCCTCAGTAGGCACATCACTGCGATAGACGTTGCCCCATCAGCAGTTTCACCAGGCACACCGCAACCCACAAAGTCGTCCGTTGGCGACATGGGCGTAGGCAAAGCATTGCGGTATTGGTTGCGCCGTGGGCTTCGTCTCAGATCCCCTACAATCCACCCAATCGTCCGTTGCTCCAGTGGGTGTATCATTGCGCCACAAGTTGCGCCACAGTGTGTGCCATCGGTTGTGACAGACCCCCTGCAATCCACCAAATCGTCCGTTGCGCTTTATGTTGCGCCATAGAAGAGTTGCGCCACTCCCCCCACACAATCCATGGTTGTGCCAGCTCAGGCCGGAGCCGCAGTGTGTGCTGTCAATACATCCAACGGTTCCTCTCAATTCTCTGCTTCTGAAAAATCGGAATGCCTCCATAGTTTGGGCCTCTTGGGCTCCTCTTGCGGATTCTGCAATCATCAAGCACGAGTCAGAAAACAAAGCTTAAACACAGCGAGTTGCGCGGACAATTGCAAGCGAGACGACGCACAGGAGCAGACAACGAACTAGTCATACAAATGGTCCAGTTCAAAAAAACATCCGAAATTGGACTCGCACGCGCAAGTCCTTTGGATCTGGCGGGATCGAAATGAGGAACTCCTCCTGGTCGGCTGTGCACCTCCCATGCTGAGCATTGCTGCATTTGTGATGCCATATCCTTCTAGGCGCGGTCGACCTCGAAGATATCTTGCCCAAATCATCGCACTATGTTCTCAACGACGCCCGTGCAACAAATGCTGGTGAAGCTGGACACTTTGAGAACGGCATGCCTCCGAGAGTCCAATCTCACACTTCAACCTGCCAAGTTGGATAAGCTTATAAGTCTATAAAGCCACATCGGTGCAAATTTCATGTTTGTGATGTTTTTCGACGGATTGTCATATCACAGATGATCAACTATGCTGATCAAGGGGCACGCGCAACGGGCAATGTACAGAAAATTCTGCCTACCCTACGACTGAACTCAATGGCTTCATCTCTAGCTTACTACTACCGTTCAGGATCAACAAATGAATCATCAACGTACCGTCCCTTCTAACTAGTCAATGAACTCACCATCAGCACCATACCACCCCTACGAATCCAAGCTAAAACCACTACCATTCAACACGATCTTCGATCAGAAAAACGGTCGCTCTTCATGCTTTGTGAACTACCACGCGTGAGATCGATGTACATATCTCGGACACACTGTCATGACAAGGCAAGCGTGGCCTCACAAGCAAGGGTGGGCCAGGACATGTTGGTTGATCCCGTGAGAAAAACACACCACGCTTGCCTGCGCTGGGTCTGTCTCTGTCTGTGCCACTGTCGCTGTCTCGTTCTCTATCTCTCCATCGCTCCCTCTCTCTCCCTCTCCCTCCCTCTGGTTCTCTTTATCGCCCCCTGCACCTCCGAGCAGCATGTGCGGGCTCCAATCAGGGCGCGGGCCCCAGGGATTGGGCTTGCAGTAAGTGAAGCGGCATACAAGAACACGGTCCACCCATTGACGCACCCTAAACACCGCGTAGCGCCAGCCGAGGACAGATGTTGCGCAAATCTGCTCACCCCAAACAGACAAGGAAGGGCTGGGATTGAGCTCGCAGAAACTTGCGGACCAAACAAACATGGTCCGCAAACTTGCCCACCCCAAACAACAATGACCTGCACATCTGCGCACTCTAAGCAAGCAAGGAGGTGAGTGAGCTCGCGGGGGGAATGCGGGCCAAAAACAAATAATCCGCACATTTGCTTACCCCAAAACAAGCAAGGAAGGGCTGGGATGGGGCTTGCGGAACTGCGGGCCAACAACAAAGGGCCCGCACATCTGTTCACCCCAAACGGCCCAAGAAAGGCGGGGATAGGGCTCGCGGATACTGTGGGCCCCAAAAACATGGTCCGCAAATCTCCCCTGCTCACCACGCACAAACAAGGTCTGGGATTAGGCTCGCAGAAGTAGCGGGCCAACCAACAACTGGCCCGCTATTTCTGCGACGCGGGGCCGCACGTAGATGGCCAACCTCTATCCCTATCCTTGTTCCTTATTATGAAATACCCACACATACCTCGTATCCCGGCCGATAGCAACCCGATCCGGGACCTCCCATCCGGACTGTAAATAATCAATACAAAGTACCCGTTGTTTTTCTCAACATCGTCTTTCTTGTCGTCGACGATGCGAAAAGCGTGGCAGGAATGGGACGCGGCGCACATCGCGCGCGGCAGTCAATCTGGGCCCGCCCATCCTGACTGTAAAAAATAAATACAAAGTCTTCGTTTTTCTTCTCAGCATGGCCTGCCTTGTCGCCGACGGTGCGAAATATGTGGCAGCAGTGGGACGCGGCGCACATATGGGACGCGGCGCACATCGCGCGCGGCCGTCAATCCGGGCCCGCCCATCCTGACTGTAAAAACTTATACTGGCGAAGGACCCAACCATATGCAGCTGTGAGCACCGCCATCGTGAACATCTTCTTCGGTGGCGAGCCCTACGGGGCGAACCGTGTGAGGGGGGTGCCGACATGCGCGGCCGGGTGCACGACACGAACGGAAGACGATCGGCCTGAGTATGAAAGCTTGAGCGCGGGTGAGTCTGAGCGCGAGAGAGTCTGATTATGAATGAGTCTGCGCGCGATTGATTCTATTTGTATAACTGCGAGCATGGATGCGCCTAATGTAAATGCACGCGAATGCGAATGGTTGGGGTCTGCCTGACTCTGAGAACTGGCGACACTGAACGTAGCCTCTGCAGGGGGCTTCCCCAGGAACCCCGACGGCAGCGCCCGCGCGCCGCGACGCCCATGTCGGCGCGCTCCACGCGAGGATCGCGCCCGCTTCCTCCCCTTCTTTTATTTCCTCTTTGCCCGCGCACTCCATAGTCCAAGGCTGCGGGCGCAGCGCAACGCAGAGCCCTCGCGACGCGCGCAGGTCGCCCCGAAGGGGTCACAGTGACGCGCGCGGTTCGTCCGCTGTGCGGGGCACGCAGTGCTTGCTGGCTAACTGATAGCGCGCGTGGCTCTGGCCGCTGGAAAAGCGGTGAAGGGCGGGCGAGGCGCTGGGCAGAGCGCAGCGCGGAGTTTGCGCGACGCGCGCTGATCGCCCCGAGAGGGCCCCAGCGACGCGCGCGAGTCGCCCGCGGCGCGAGGCCAAACAGTCGGACAGCCAAGAGAAGGCGCGGCTGGGGCGGGCCGCTCCTCAGGTCAGGCCTCGCGGATAAACTCGGTGAAGCCGAGCTCCCTGGCGAGGGCCGTCGCCCCCCTCCTGCGCCGCTTCGCGCGCGCCGCAAACTGCCCCAGCTGCTTGCGCAAGCCCTCCGGCGGCCCGGCCAGGAAGAACTCGATGCGCGGCGCCCGCGTGAGCAGGAGGTCCTCGTGGCGCGCGGCGCGCGAGAGCAGCGCGTGGAGCTCCAGCCACCAGTCGTCATCCTCCTTCTTGCCGTTCCCGACCTCGTGGCGGCCGCAATCCAGAATCACGCCTGGGCGACGTCGGCCGAGGGGGCAGTGCGCCGGGCAGCCGACGGCCCAGGGCGAGAGCCCGCAGGACCGAAGGACGGCTGCGGACTGCTCGCGCCCCTGAGGTCTGGCCGTCCCCGGAGCGCCGTTCCCTCGCCCCGTCGCCTTCTCGCATGGTGCGCCCCTGGCACGCCACCGCGGTGATGACCCTGCCGTGCGAGAACGGGAAGCCCGCCCGGGTGACCTTGGAGGCGCGGAAGGTGAACGGCTCCGACGTGCGGGGCTCGATGAACACCAGCGGGCCCGTGAGGTCCCCCGCGAGGCTCTCGTCGTGGCGCCCGAGGTCATCCACGAAGGGCGCGCTCGCGTGCTTCTCCATGCGCACCCAGAACCCCAGCGGCAAGTGCTTTAGATAGATCCTCTTCTCCCCGTCTCTCTCGGCCCTGTCGACGTCGCCCCGATCTCGAGGGCCCGCGACGATGTGAACGATCTGCCCCTCGGCATCCCTGACGAGGCCGTTCTTGAGGCCCAGCGCCTCCAGGAGCCGGATCCGCATGCCCGCGTGCACCGGGGGCAGTCCGTGCACGCCACTGGTGTTCTTCGGATTGGCACAGTTCATCATCTTGGCGGCGCCCTTCCTGCTCATCGTCGGGGCAGACCTGTCGGCGGCCTGCACGAGGAAGAGAAGCTTCTTCAGGACGTCCGCGCCCCGCTGGGCACGCGTGTTCATCCAGCGCGCCACGGTGTCCCAATAGGACCCAATCATGTGGCCGTTCTGGAGCCTGTCCTCCCGGAGTCTACGATCATCGGGTTTCAGCTGCATGGCGTTCCACGTGGCCCGGATGGCCGGCGGGGCCTGCTTCCCCGGCTTGCGCAGGAACGCCATGAGGTCCCTGAGTTTCGGGTCCTTGAAGCGGTTGGACGCCTGGAGCTCGAAGCACAGCGGCGTGTTGCAGAAGAGCTTCATCACTGCCTGGCACTCTGGTGCGAGGTTGACGCCCGTCGCCGCCAGTTCCTCAAAGCTGGAGATGAGCGACACCTCGCCTCCAGTCGGTTTCAGCTGCAGGAAGTCCCCCAGCCAGCTCCTCCGCCAGAAGCAGCGTGTACGAAGCGACCGCGTTCTTGCCGAGCAAGCCGCCGCACGCGCGGCTCCTTGAAATGCAGAAAGTCCTCCTCCAGTCACCCTTGAGCTCCAGCGAGCATTTACCTTCGGTCTTGAGGATGGCTTCCAGCTGGGCTTGCTTCCGTTCCTTCTTCTGCAGGGCATCCAGGTAGTAGGAGCGTTTGTCGAAGCAGTCCGTGAAGGGCTCCCCTGTGAAGTCTCGCCAGAGCGATGATCCGAGAGCCCTTCACATTCTCCTCGCCGCGCGTCTGCTCGTGCACGTGCACGCAGAAGTCCCGCGAGTTCACCAAGCTCATCGTGGCGCAAAAGATCCTCGTAGGCTGACGTGCGCTTGCCGGTCTCCAAGTTCAGAAGAGTGCACACATAGGTGTCCTCGTGGTTCAGCTTCCGCTCGCAGAGCACCTGCATCTTGTCCACTTGCCTGGTCTGCTTTACCCAGGCCGCCGTGGCGTCGTCGTACTTCATGTCCGCCACCGTGCCTCTGGGCGCGGAGTGGGCGTGTCCTCATGTCCTTTGCCCAATCCCCTGAACCTGAACCCTCAGCCCTGAAGGATTTTCAGGTGTCCGGACTCCGGACCCCCACTTGCCGAATCCGCCAGGCCTTGGCGCTGTACCCCCGCGGCTAGTCGCTGTGCCCCGACAACCCAGGCACGTGGCCGGAAGGGCCGAAGGCCAGTTGGATACTGCAAGCTGTGCGCCCAGAAGCGCCTGAAAGCTGCACTGGCGCCGTCGGCGGTCCGCAGCGCGTGCAGGGAATCGTACTCTCTTGGGAACTCATCGCGGCACGCCAGGATGTCGCACCACAGCTCGACAGCAGCGTCCGCCTCCATCTTCACTGACATGAAGCCTCGCGCTGGCGCCGAAGCGCTGAGATCCCCCCAACTCGCGCTGGTCGTCCCAAATGGGGGTCCCGGCAACGAGCGGGAGTCGTCTCGAGGGCGTTTGCCGGTGGAGGGACCCGGCCGCAGGCTTGAGCCATAACAGTGGCGGAGTGCGACGACGACGACGTAAGACGACGACGACGGCGACGACGACGACGAGAGAAGAGGACGACGGCGCCAACGA